TTGCCGCTTCGGTCGTTGCTCTTGTTCGGTAGCAGGGTGTGTGTGTGTGTGTGTGTGCGTGTGTGTGTGTATGTATGTGTATGTGTGTACGGAAGCGAGTGCATTTTGTTACCCACTTTCACCTCAGCAACCAGGAAAGCTGGGGGGCTGAAATTTCGGGTATATGTTCCTACCTCGTGTGTTACCCTTCCGTTTTAAGATCTGCCCTCATACGCGCTAGACCCCACGTACGGACCCCCGAAAAAATATGCAGATTTCGTTGGAGGGAAGCGATTTCGCGAACCAGGCAAGGTAGGGAGCTGAAACTTTGCAGGGATATTCTCTATGCACATACGAGAGAAAGGTTTTAAACTCAGCTGTCGAGCACGCTTGTGAAGCACGTACGATCACATCAAAGTTTGTGACTTGGTACTATGCTAACTCGAAAGCTTGCCGGAAAACAGTGGCTGAAAGTTTGTCAGTATGTTTATCGCCCACATAGGAAATAGCATACCTAAAATGCGTACCGATTTGCATTTGCGCCACGACTTGGGATACTTTAAAGACATTTGTAGCGAAGTGAATATTTAGCTTGCCAGAGAAGTTGCGAGGCTGAAAATTTGCTAGAATATTCTACTTTCAATTGCGATCTGAATTTTGCTTGGAGGTGAAATTCCCTCCAGGTAGACATGAGAAATACTCAACTTTACTGAAAAATCAGAAACGAGTGCGTTTTGCAGCGAACAACCGCCCTCATCCAAATATGAAAATGGACATGAGTTCATTTGCTTACTTGGATTTTTTTGCGAACGACCGCTCGAACAATGCTTTCACTTTTCAGTGGACAGGAAATTTGCATTTTTCCAAAAAATTTGCATTTTCATTTTTTTCAAAACGCTAACATTTACAGAAAAAGCGACCGAGCATCATGCAGAAAAATGGTTATCATGTCCACGCAGCTCTATAACGCGACACCCCCATCTCAACCGATACGCGTTCTGCTGCATGCCGGAAGAAACCAAAGTATGGCCAATATGAGCTCAAGTGTTTGGCTGCAGCGCAGGGATTATTCCTGCTATTAGCGACCCGCGATTTTAGTGCAAAAACGCATGATCGCACCGGTAAGTCTGGTACGTTCCAGTCTGGGTTTATTTCCACGCTGTTCGTACTAATAAAGAATTGTTTGTGCGCTTCCCCGCAGCCGCCCAGGCTCTCCTCGTTACAAGTATGAGACGAACCCAAGCAAGTGTAATATTTGGTATGATGAAATGAAGACCGGCAAACAGCAGTGGTACTCCGAGCACTGATCCCAAACCACATACTAGTGCGTTCGCTCGAACTGTGCGAATCGGCCGCAGACACCATCTGCCTTGCGACCAAAACTGCAATTTTTTTTTTCTGAGGGATTTCGGCAGTTTCACGAAACTTGAAGCCGCAGCATTACGCCCGTAATTTGATTAAAAAGCCATTTAAGTCACTTAATTTCTTCAATTAATTTTCTGGAAATAACTGTCTGTTTGGTACAGAAGATTCTCCTGAAAATTATCAAACGGCCACTTTCATTGAGCGGTCACTTTTAGTGCAGAAAAAACTCATTATGTACATGTTTTTAAGAACTAACTTGTGCCAGTACTGTGCCAAGAAAAACACCCACAATACCACCAACAACTGTTATCAAACCGAACAAAAATGTAGTGCTGAAAAAATTTTAAAAATTTTAAGTCAAAAAATTTATGGTTTGACATTAAGCATTGCTAACATTTAACGATGGGCATTTTCACTGGCATTACAAGCATGCATAATGACAGATCGATGACGCTAGCATCGTTTGGCTCAGTCAAAATTCGGATGATTCGGCCATTTGCAAGTGTTAAATCCGATTCAGCGTGAATATAGAACTGAGCTTAGTGACAGTGAACAGTCAAAGCATGTTGAACTCTAGTACGGGGGGAGGAAAATGACCACTGGTCAAGAAACGGTGTTTTTTGGTCAAGAGCTGCTCAGCTTTCATTCCTCATTTTTATGCGTTTTTTGCAGCTATGCAATGCGAAAAGCGCATATTGACGAGAGGTTGTCTGTGTGTGTGTCTGTGTGTTTGTGTGTGTGTCTGTGTGTGCGCTGCTCGTCTGTACCGATTTTTCATCTCGAGACCCACAAAAGCTACAGGGCTGAAACTTTGGGGACATAATCTACATGCACGTACGGCCCCCCATCCCCAAAATGGGCGGTCCTACCCGCGTCGCACCGCGTAAGAGCCCGCCAAAGTTTTTTTAGGGTAAGTTGATAACTCGCGAACCAGGAAACCTAGAAAGCTGAAATTTTAAGGCAATGTTCCCCGTCCAAGTATATACTAGTGAGCTCAAACCCAACCCCCGGGTAGGCGTGGTACCCGTGTACGGGCCTGCCAAAATTCTTCCCGCGTAAATTCATAACGCTGGGATTTGAGATGCTAGAAGACTGTGACGTTAAGAGGGCGTTTCTCGTCCACATTAGTCTCAACGAGCTCAAACCCAACCCTCGGTTGCGCGTGGTTCACCAAAGTTTTTCTCGGGTAAGCTCATAGCTCAAGAACCCGTAAAGCTAAACGCTGCAGGAGGATATTCCCCGTCCGAGTAAGTCTCAGTGAGCTCAAACCCGGACATCGGGTATGCGTGGTACCCGAGAACGGGCTCATGAAAGATTTTTTCGAGTAAATTGCTAACTCAGGAGCCAAGAAAACTAGAAAGCTGAAATTTTAAGGGGGTGTTTCCTGCCAGTTCTGGCAACCAGTCCTAGTTTGTTTAGCCTGAAGCATTTGCCGAAAAACCGGACGCTGTAGCGACAAAAATTGCGAGGAACTCTACAAAAAACGCACCTTCGCACGAGCAGCCCGTGCGTTGGCCAATTATTTGCAGCTACGTAATGCGGAAAACGCATATTGACGAGAGGTTGTCTGTGTGTGCGCGCAGGGCCTCTGTACCGACTTTTCATCTCGAGACCTACAAAAGCTACGGGGCTGAAACTTTGGGGACTTAATCTACATACACGTATGGGCCTCAATCCCCAAAATGGGCGGTCTTTCCGGCGTGGTACCCGCGTAAGAGCCCGCCAAAGTTTTTTACAGGTAAGCTGCTAACTCGCGAACCAGAAAAGCTAGAAAGCTGAAATTTTAAGTGAATGTTCCCCGTCTAGGCAGGTACTAGTGAGCCCAAACGCAGCCCCCGGGTAAGCGTAGTACCCGCGTACGAGCCCACCAAAATTTTTTAACGGGTAAGCTGCTAACTTAAGACCCAGAAAAGCTAGAAAGCTGAAATCTTAAGAGAATGTTCCCCGTCCAAATTAGTCCCAAGAAGTTCAAACCCAGCCCGCGGTCATGCACAATACCTACGCACGGGTTCACCAAAGTTCTCGGGTAAGTTAATAACTCGAGAACCTGAAAAGCTAAAAGACTGTAGTTTTAGGAAGATGTTCCTTCGTCCAAGTAAGTCTCAACGAGCTCAAACCCAAATATGGGGTATGCGTGGTACCCGCGTGCGGGCTCGTGAAAAATTTTTTCCAGTAAGTTGCTAACTCAGGAGCCAGGAAAACTAGAAAGCTGAAATTTTAAGGAGGTGTTTCCTGCCAGTTTTGGCGGCCAGTCTTAATTTGTTTAGCTAGAAGGATTTGTCCAGAAAGCCGATGCCAATAGCGAAAAAACTGCGGGGAACTATGCAAAAAACGCATCTTCGCACGGACAGCCCGTGCGTTGGCCAATTATTTTTATTGTGCTTGGTGCTGAATTAACGTCGTGTAAAATATGCTTCAGGCCGTGCCCTCG